AGTGTTTCTGAATGGACAGGAATTCAACTGTGTATTGAGCAAAACTAGGTATAACCCAGGTGATGTGGTGTTAGGTGTGTGGGCCCTTGCCCTGTGTCAACCCTTTCACAGAGGCATGCAGGCAGACTAGTAAGTTCTCTCAAGAAGAAAGGTGGCTTCTTACTGTTCCCAGGAGGGCCTGCTGGAGCCTTTAGCCTCCAGCCCCCACGCCTGAGTTCTCCCCAATTCTGGAATCCTGGGGCAGGAGTTCTGACAGGTATGCTCCACCTCTGGCAGGTCCAGTGTGATATGGGAGCATATGAGGGTTTGCTGGCCTTGATTTTCTTGATATCTCCTCTTTGACAGTGCTAGTATTGGGAAGGTTCTTGAACAAGCTGCCCCTCTGGGAATGCCCCTCTCTCCTGGGTGAATGCCCTAGAGTGTGCTCCCCACTCTTCCCCTTCTTGGCCTATCCTAGCCTAGACCTGACCTGTCCTGGGGAAGTCTGGGATATAGCAGCTCTGAGATTAAGTGGGCTCATAATGCTGGTGACCTTCCCTTTGAAATAGCTGAATTACAGCATCATGTATTGCTCTGGGCTCATTATAGAATGTCCAGCATAAAAATGTAAACCCAAAACATTTCTGGCATTTGAGGCCTTTTTTGACAAGGTGCACCACAGACCTGCAATGCAGTTGGCTCTGGGACTGGAGGAAGCACAGCCAGAGCCCTTCCTGAGTGCTTGTCTGCCTTGTGGCCCAGAGGGCAGGTGGGGTATGGAGCTTGGGAGGACTGTGCCAGTCATACCCTCCTGGTCTTGGGTCATTGGATGGCAATCTGGTGGCCTGAGGATTTGACTTATTTCCCATTTACATTTTTTTGATTCCCCCCACCCAAGATCTGCTTTGCACTCACTGATGTGTACCCCGTTACTGGTGGGTGTCTGCTCTCAGGAAAACATGTGGCCTCTCAAGAAAAGGTTCTCATAATGTGGTGTGTGGGGAAGACCCTAGAAGGAGGGTTGAGTGCTCTGGACCTGCCTCCCTGTAGACAGAAGTGGCTGTTCTCCTTAACCTGAAATGTGCTTCTGGCACTCAGCCTCTTATGAGGAGGCTAAATCTGTTTTCAGAACCTGAATCTGTTTGCATTTTACCGAGGTCAGGTTTCCTTTGCAGTCTTGCCTCATAGACTCATTTGGGGTACACTGGATGTTCTGTGAGCCAATGAAGACCCCTAAGGGCCTGGGGAGGATGCTGTACTAGGTCCTGTAGGAGCAGGGGCTGTTCAAAAAGTTAGTGCTGCTGTCTCCAAAACCAGGGCCTGCGGGCCCGTTCCTTCTGTGGTCTTGTTAGTCAGATGGGAAGTTCCTCCTGTTTTCTGGAAATCCCAGCCAGACCTCAAAAATGTGATTCTGTGGTCCCAGAGGAAATGGGTGGGAGTGGTAGGAGTGGCCTGGGCCTCCAGAGACAACCCCAGACTTGGTGGGGCCTGGTGACATTTGAAGATGAGCTGCAAACACAGTTCTTGTGGGTGATGAGGAAGGAGCCATCACTCTTCTTTTTAAGTCTTGTTGCTTCTCTGGTGCCTGTAGTCTCAGTACTTATTTCTCTGTGTCTCTCCTTATTTCGGAAAGGCTTTGGGTTGTGGCAGGCTGTGGACTCCCGTTCTCACCAGGGGAGATTTGCCATGGTGGGCCCTCTGCACACAGACTGCACCTCCATGGGCAGCCAGGGTGCCTCAGGCACCAGTTTGAGACTGTGTAAAAAGGGAAAGCTGCATCTCAACAGAGACCTTAAGTCCCTGTGGCAACAAAAATAACATGTGGTGGAGGGAGTGCCTGGCCTCCCAGGATGGTGTCGATGCAGGACTCGTCTATGGCTGGGAGAGGAAGAAATTTCTTCTCTTCTTGCTCAGCCTTTGGGAAAACAGACAAGCCCATCTTCTCCGGGAACACTCCTGCACCCACCAAGGTCACATTCTGCAGGACATGATTTGGTTTGCCCCTTCAGGACTCATGAAGAGGCCTCCTGGGGTGTTTGGTGAGGAAGGTTTTATAAGAAAAAACCCTGGAGATGCCCTGCGTCTCTAAGACAATCCTTAGATATAGTGTATAGTCATTTTTTAAAATGAAGAAGGCATGGAAAGATCTTTCAGATAGCCTATATTTTTAAAAAGTTGTAAAATAGGGGTGCCTGGGTGGCTCAGTTGTTGGTTGAGTTGTTGGTTGACTCTTAGTTTCAGCTGAGATCATGATCCCAGGGTCATGGGACCAAGCCCTGAGTCAGCCTCCAGGCTGAGCCTGGAGCCTGAATGAGATATTCTCTCTCTCTCTCTCTCTCTCTCTCCCTCTGTCTCCCATCTGTCCCTCTCCCCCACTCATGCACGCTCTTTCTTCAAAATTAAAAAAAAAAGTTGTGAAATAGCACGTATGGTGTTACACTTATGTAAAAACATGCATATCTATGTGTGTTATGTATTTATATAGGTCTGTGCTTTCATCCACCATGTGACTTAGGAATAATTTGAAAGACTACACTCTAAGCAGTGCTTACCTCTGGGAGTGGGGTTTTGCTTTTTCTGTTTTTGTTTTACTTTATATACTTTTAATTGCTTGAATGGTTACAACTCAAAGTAAAAGAGAAAAAATGGAGGATTTTTCACAATAGGTATGTTCATGATTTGTGTAGGCACAGCAGGGGGGTGGTAGATGAGGGCTGGGAGGCTTGTTAGTAGGCAGGGCAACAGGGAGAGCCGGCAGTGGGGGGAGCATCTGCCTGAGGAGGTGTGGGTGTGGTAGGTTCTGCAGCCAGGGTCCTCTAGTCACTGTTCACCCTCTTCACCCTGATTCCTTGACTCTATTTCACATACTGAATTTTGTCATTTGTCTTTCTCCTGTCTATTTACTTCTGGCTTATCAAAAATTATCATTGGCAAATACCAGTAGTTGCATGCAGCTCACCACAGGTGGCTGTTGTCTGCAAAAGGACAGAGCTCCCAGTTTGGGGGAGGGACTGACCTTGAATGAGAAGTGTGATAGATGTGAGTTAGGAAGGTTATTTATTTTTCTCATTTATCCTAGGTGTTTTTGCACGTATATCCGTGTTTCTCCATGTTGTTTCTGCAGTCAGAGCTGCCTGGGATGGGGCTGTCTGGGCGTTCACAGCTCCACCTATCCATGTCCTTTCATTATTACCTCCCATTGCTCCTTTCTAGAAGTGCTCGCATAATCTGATGAGTGGATAGAGCAGTTGTGTTATCCTTTCACTCCTGTATCAAACCTGAGGCTGAGATGCTGGCAGTCTTTATACCTGATCAGCAGGTGTTTAATCAGGAGCTCAGGGAAGGTGGTTCACCTTACAGGATTACAATAGATATTCTATTCAAGATCAGTATTTTTATATCACTGATTTTACTGTTTCCCGGATTAAGACGATACTCTTTGTGGAGGGGGGAGGGGATTGATATGAACAGATTTCAGTCCTTCATACAGTTTTTGTGCTGATGCAGTCCTCCTTACCCCTCGTGGGTGATGCATGGGCAAATACCATTGACATTAAAAATTATATCTTTATAGAATTGGCATTCATTGTGCTATTTCTTATTAGTGAGATACATTGCTTCATTGTTTCATGTTTATAGAATTGTTTGATGATTAATGAGCTTGACCAGTTTTCCATGTTTGTTTACTTATCATATCTCCTTTCTTCAGAATTGTCCACAGTCCTGTGTCTTTATGTGACCAATGTGAAGTCACCATTGTTGTTGGTCAGAACAGTTCGGTGTTGGCAATATCATATGGTTCATGATAGTATCTTTAGGACCTCAGTGTTTTACATGGCTTAGGAACATCTTTCTAGTTATAAAGTGTTTCACTTTTTATAAAACTTTTAAAGAAATATTAAAATATAGAGAATAGAAAATGGAAATGTGTAGTACCATAAAATCATCTCTTACCATTTTGGTGTATTTTTTTTTACAATATTTCCCCCAAGAATTGCAGAAGTCACTTAATAGAATTATTCTAGACATAAGTGAGTTATTATATGTGAACTGACCAGTACATAAGCTAGCTATTATTATTATAAAGTTTTTATCCTGGCTTAATATTTTATCAACTGCACTTCCTATGCTGTTAAATATTCTTCAGAAATGTGTTTTTTAAGTCTACTGAATATTCTGCCATATAATTATGCTGTAACTTAGCAATCTGTTTTCTTTTGTTGGACATTTTGTTTTCTTTTACGTTTTTGTCTGTAGCTCTATCCTGAAGTACAAGGAATTTCTGTAAGATACTGTGTATGTGAAATAACTAGGTCAGATAATACAATTATTTAAAAATTTCTTGGTATACAAAGTATATTCCAAAAGACATTTAATTGTCCCTTTCTCTAGAAATATGTGAGAGCCCCTTCTGATGATAGCCTCAGTTAGCATTGGGGGTTTTTATTCTTGATAATTTGACCATGCCACATAGTATCTTTGTTTTAATTTGAACATTTTTACATGGTTATTAACCTTATATTTTTTTCTTTTGTGATTAAGTAACACCCTCTATATATTTTATTGGAGTTTCAATTTTTTATTGTAAATATTTTCATCTGGTAAAATTTAGTAACATTTTTACTTTATAGTCTTTATAACTAAATACCAATAAGGAAAAAAATACCATACTTATATGTATAGAGAAAAGTTAGAATGTATATTTGTCAAAATGTTAATAGTGATTTTGTTTTAGGTGGTGAAGTTTTGGATGATTTTAGTTCTCAATTTTATACTTACCTCTTTTTTTCCTGATTATTCTATAATATATATTTTCTTACAGAACAAAGAAATTCTGTTTCTTTTGAACAAGGACTGACTCCCCAGTGACATGTTTCTGGCCTCTCCTGCAAAAGTCTCACATAAACCTTAGAGCACCTGGATGCCACCCCACCAGGGCTCATCAGAGTGGTAAAAGAATGTATGACGTGTGGCAGTGAAAGTGTACTCTTGTTTCTCTTTTCCCCCTGCCATGTCCAGTCTGCTATGGGATGGGTGAAGAAGAAGAGAACCACTATGTTTCACAGCTCAAGGAAGTCTACAGCAGCTGTGACACCACAGGGACAGGATTTCTGGATCGGGAAGAGCTGACCCAGCTGTGCCTTAAGCTTCATCTGGAAAAGCAGCTGCCTATCCTTCTGCAAACGCTTCTTGGAAATGACCACTTTGCCAGGGTGGGTATTTGACTTCATTCTCATGAGGAAAAGCACAGAATGCTATAGTTAGCTGACATTTGAGAAATGTCAGTTGATAAAGATACACACCAAAACAGAGTTACTAGGAACTAGAAGGCTGCTTTTCCTTCTGCTAAACTCTTACATTGTAGCAAGAGTTTCCTTAAGATTACTTTTTTAAAATGTTTATTAATTTTTGAGAGAGAACATGAGTGAGAGAGGGGCAGGGAGGGGGGCAAGAGGAACTGAAGTGGGGTCTGCACTGACAGTGGTGAGCCCCATGTGGGGCTCAAACCCACAAGCCGTGAAAACATGACCTGAGCCAAAGTTAGATGCTCACCTGACTTAGCCACCCTGGTGCCCCTAAGATTATTTTTTTTAAGGCATAGTAAGGTTTGGTTTGGTTTTTCCTGAAAGGTGTTTGAGTGATTTATTGGGGGTGGGGGATGGGGTGGAAGGTTGGTATGGGCAAGTGGTATGTGGTTCATAAAAACACAAGATCTGTGGGCAGCTGACACACTGGGTCATCGAGAGAAAGGCAACTTTAAGTACCTTGAAAGCAGATTGGCTAGTAAAATTACATAGCTTGAAATTCATTATAGCAGCTGAACAAAGCAACTGCACACCACTGTTGCAGAACAAAAGGATACCTATGTTCAGAGGTTTCCTGTGATTTTTATCTAGGCCAGTTCTAAACTATGAATTCAGTTGTTTTTGCTAGGAAGTTCAAGGTCATCTAGAATGGTGATCAAGAATCTAGACTACAATTTACTTTCCTGACAGAAGCAGTAAAAAGTACCTCCCACCTTGTCCCTACTTCTTAAATGTGTCCAGATGTTAACGTTTTAGTGCTAAAAATGGTGCCTGTTATCTCATTGGTCATCTTAACTTTGAAGGAAGAGCGTTTTTTCCAGAGAAATCAATGAAAACATTTTTATTTTGAATGAGAAAAAAAAAACCCTACCCTGCAGATTTTCCTGAATTGGCTTTTGGACAAAAACAAATGCAGAAAAACAAGCTAGCATAGGAAGAGAGTCCAGGGGAAATGTACCTCTTGTTACTTTCCCAAAGCACCCACTGCCCCATATTGCCAATGCCTGTCAGTGGGATACTGTTACTCCCCCTTGGGGAGCTCTGCCTCAACTAATATGACCACACACTTTCTCTCTTCATTCTATTCCTGATTTTTTTTTTAATGGACTTAAGAATCAGCTATATTTCTGCTAATGTTCTAGCCCCTCTTGATATCACCTTGAATTGTATTTGGGAGCAAAAGGCACATTTGTGAAAATCACTGTGTTTATTCAAGCAGTATAAACAGATGATCTGAGTTTCTTGATTATTTTTGGCAGTTTGGAAAATTCAAAGCCAAAAGAAAATAACTTTTGAGTTCATGTTCATATGGTAGATTCTCCTGATTGAACAATTACATCATTCCTGAGCCTTTCCCCACTTTATCCTGCACTTTATATGTGCAGAAATGGTAGATTTAGAAACATCAAATTATGATAAAGAAAAATCAACTTGGGTTGTTTGAGATTTCTAGTTCCTCCCATATCACCTGTATCCAGTAAAAGAGTTCCTGTGAGTTGTAACTCCTTCCAGGAGGCTGGATGTTTCTCCTCACACAGACACTCACAGGCAGTGACAGGAACCTGGTCTTTTCTGATAACATGGTCTCTTGACAAATTCTGTGTTCATCCATCTTTCTGTCTGTCCCAACTCCACTTTCTTACAGTCAAGATTTCTGCTGCCATTAGTGCTATTGAGTCTCACCTGAAGTTGTCCCTCCTCCCCTCTCTCACATTTCAAGAGTAGTATCCACACCAGCTGATGCCTCTAGGGGCCCTGCATTTGTCTCCCTCCAACCCACCCCACACTTTATACCACCTCCTCTGTGATCATATGGTCATGGTGGATTATTTCTGCTTTCAGAGCTTTTACTGCTTCTCTGCTTCATCCCACAGATGGGGCATAGCATACACAGCCAGCATTTAGGTGGGTTCTGTAGAGGTTTTAGGGGAAGCTGGTGTCAAGCCAGAAATGTCTAGATAGTTACCACCATTTTCCATGATAGAAACCAAATGGTGGAGATTTGGGGATATTTCAAAGAAAATCAAGATAAATTCTGTATCCGTGAGAATTGATTGGTTTTTTAGTTCAAATATCACATATCCAGTTTCCTTGTAGTAACTAACACATGACATCATGTAAATGTTAGTCATTGATACAGTAATCCAGTTATAAAAATGAAGAACAATATTATAAACATTAATTTTAATTAACAAGGTAATCTTTTAATGCACTGAGTTACGCTCACTTTTTATTTACAAGTCCAGTCCGCGCGCCCCACTGATATTGCCGTAGACACAACCTCGCAGGCAATCCTCTTGGGGCAATTCCAAGCCTCTTGCCTAGCCCTGGGGATAGAGCCAGAATAGCTGCTCCCGTTCCTCTAGGTCAGGTTGGCGAGCAAGGACAGGGATTTGCCTGGGGGGCAATCGAATCCAGCAGCACATAGAAAGAATCATCCACCAAGATCAAGTGGGATTCATTCCTGGGTTACAGGGCTGGTTCAACATTCCCAAATCAATCAGTGTGATACATCACATCAATAAAAGAAAAGATAAACACCATATGACCAGTCAATAGATGCAGAGAAAGCATTGACAATTTACAGCATCCCTTCTTAATAAAAACTCTAGAGAAAGTTGGGATAGAAGGAATCTACTTAAACATCATCAAAGCCATCTATGAGAAGCCTTCAGCTAACATCATCCTCAACGGGGAAAAACTGAGAGCTTTCCTCCTGAGATCAGGAACACGACAGGGATGTGCACTGTCACCACTGTTGTTTAACATAGTGCTGGAAGTCCTAGCATCAGCCATCAGACAACAAAAGGAAATCAAAGGCATCAGAATTGGCAAAGAGGGAGTCAAACTTTCACTTTTTGCAGACGACATGATAGTCTATTTGGAAAACCCGACAGACTCCACCAGAAGCCTACTAGAACTGATCCAAGAATTCAGCCAAGTTGCAGGGTACAAAATCAACGTACAGAAATCGGTTGCATTTTTATACACCAATGATGAAGCAACAGAAAGAGAAATCAAGAAAC